CCCTGGCCTCAATCTGCACCCCCACACCCCTTTCTCCCCCATAACCCTTCACCCCAAACAGATCTACCAGCCAGACACTGTTTTCCAAGTTGCCAGGCTGCATATCAGCAGTCAGATCAGTATCAGCCGACATGGCTCGTTAATAATTGGCCATTTCTATCAGCTCAAAATATCTTTATCAATGCACCCCTACTGTATAGATCTTATAATATTAGAACCCCATAGTGTAACTAAGGTGGGGCAACTGGGGCAGCAGCCCTGGGTATTAATTTAGAGGATTAGAAAAAGAGTAGCAGCCGTGAAGCTGGGCTGGCAGTGCAGTGGCAGACAGAAGTCCCTACTTCCTCCAGCAGGCCGAGGTATCCAGCTCCCTTGTTAGACCTGTTAGAATTCAACCAAACATAACATATATACATCTTCCTAGGCCTTTCTACCTGTGGTCAGTCTAGTGAGAAGAATGATCAGTTTGCTATAGAGACCCCAAAGCTCAGGAAAGGCAGGACTCATGTGAATTCTTTCCTACCTTTGAAGCTTCAGTTCTCAGAAATACGAACAACTGCAGGAACGCCAGGATCACAAGAGTTCCATTTGGTGTTCACATGCAGATAATATGAGGCAATGAGTGTGAAATGCTGGGACTCAAGCAAAGCTCCCTAAATACTGGCTAAATACTGATGCCCAGGAAAAAGCCAACGTATTAAATGAGTACTTTGCGTTGGTCTTTCATCAGTCCCATGGGATGCCCATGCCCGCTCCGGGACAGGGAGGTCTGGGTGATGGAGATCCCCTGCCCTCCATTAATGCTGACCTCATGAAGGAACACCTTGAGAAGCTGGAGACCTTCAAGTCAGCTGGCCCTGACAATCTACACACCAGGGTACTCAAGGAGCTGGCGAGCATCATAGCCCACCCCTGGCACGGATCTTTGAAAACTCCTGGTGCTCTGGTGTAGTGCCCGAAGACTGGAAGAAAGCCAATGTGATGCGTATCTTCAAGAAAGGGAGGAAAGTGGATCCGGCTAACTATACACCCATCAGCCTGACTTCTATCCCGGGGAAGATCTTAGAAAAGTTTATTAAAGACCTTAATGGACTGGCCGATGCCAACATCCTAAGGGATATCCAGCCTGGGTTTGTGGTGGGTAGGTCTTGCTTGACCAAACTCATTTCCTTCTACGACCAGGTGACCTATCACCTGGATAAGGGAGAAGAGATTGATGTCATATATCTTGACTTCAAAAAAGCCTTCAATGTAGTATCCCATGAACACCTCTTGGCGAAACTGGCTAATTGTGGCCTTGGGTCCACCATGATCCACTGGCTGGAAAATTGGCTCCGTGGTCAGACCCAGAGGGTAGTAATTGATGGAAGTCACTCATTATGGTGTCCTGTGACCAGTGG